CTTCTTGGCAAAATGGGGTTGGACTGGATGGCCCATGAGGTCTCTTCCAACTCTTTGATTCTATGATTCTAAGACGCATCAAACACATCCCTCCTTAAAGAAACTTTGCATGCTTTTGCTGATTTGGAAATAGCAAGCATTTTGGATAAAGCATCACAGCAGTTGCAAAATAGAAGGAAAACTTTAGAAGGTGGGCACTCACCTTGAGCCACAGATGGACTGACTGGCTTTCCCCAGAAATTGGACCTTTCCGGCCGGTTTCCTCTGACTTATCCTTAAGGTTCCCTTTCCTCCCTGAGTTTTTATAGTCTCCCCCGTTGCAATGCACTCCAATCCCTGCTGCCCGTCTCTCTTACATCATGCCTAAAGATTTTCACCGGCTCTTGCATCTCCCTCCCTCCTTCCCTCTGTTTTTCCCCCCAACCTGCCCATTTCTCGCTTCTCCTCCTGAGAGATTTATTGCCACCGATCCAGGTGATCCGATTATGGCAGAATTAAGATCGCGCAGTCAGAAATGGGCAGGATGGAAAGGGCAGCAAGGAGACAGAGGTGGACGCAAGCCGGGAAGGCCTGGCGGAAGAGAAGCTCCCATTCCCAGCCCCATAACACACACACACACACACACACACTAGCTTGGGTACCCAGCATTGCCTGAGTTATTTGAAAAAGTCATTTCTTATTTTACCAAATGCATAAGTTTGTGGGTGAACTACAACTCACATCATGCCAGGTTAGAAGGATAGCCAAGACTTCAGAGGACAGGAGCAGGATTCAAAACAATCTTGACAGATTAGAGAGATTAATGGCCAAAACTAACAAAATGAAGTTCAACGGGGACAAATGCAAGATACTCCACTTAGGCAGGAAAAACGAAATGCAATGATACAAAATGGGGGACGATGCCTGGCTCGAGAGCACTACGTGTGAAAAAGATCTTGGAGTCCTCATGGACAACAACTTAAACATGAGCCAACAATGTGATGTGGCGGCAAAAAAAGCCAATGGGATTTTGGCCTGCATCAAGAGGAGTCTAGTGCCTAGATCTAGGGAAGTAATGCTCCCCATGTTCTATTCCGCCTTCGTTAGACCACACCTGGAATACTGTGTCCAATTCTGGGCACCACAATTCAAGACAGATATTGATCCTAAGCTGGAATGTGTCCAGAGGGCGACTAAAATGATCAAGGGTCTGGAGAACAAGCCCTATGAGGAGCGGCTTAAGGAGCTGGACATGTTTGGCCTGAAGAAGAGAAGACTGAGAGGAGATATGATAGCCATGGATAAATATGTGAGGGAAAGCCACAGGGAGGAGGGAGCAAGCTTGTTTTCCGCTGCCCTGGAGACTAGGACACAATGGAACAATGGCTTCAAACTACAAGAGAGGAGATTCCATCTGAACATGAGGAAGAACTTCCTGACTATGAGAGCCATTTAGCAGTGGAACTCTCTGCCCCAGAGTGTAGTGGAAGCTTATTTGGAAGCTTTTAAACAGAGGCTGAGTGGCCATCTGTCAAGGGTAATTTGAATGCAATATTCCTGCTTCTTGGCAGAATGGGGTTGGACTGGATGGCCCAGGAGGTCTCTTTCAACTCTTTGATTCTATGATTCTATGAACTCAAGAACGGAAAACGGAATGTTGGTGGACAGGAAAAGAGATTGAAAGATGGGCTCAAAGCCAACCTTTAAAACTCTGGCATAGACACTGAGAACTGGGAAGCCCTGCCCCTTGAGCGTTCCAGCTGGAGGTCAGCTGTGACCAGCAGTGCTGCAGAATTTGAAGAGGCACGAATGGAGGGCGAAAGGGAGAAGCGTGCCAAGAGGAAGGCGTGTGAAGCCAACCCCGACCGAGACCGCCTCCCACCTGGAAACCAATGCTATCACTGCGGAAGAAAATGCAGAGCAAGAATAGGGCTCCACAGCCACATACGGACCCACAAAAACACTGGAAGACAATCCTCCTCGGAAAATGAGGGTTTAGGCACTGCGCTCAGTGTGCTGATGACCACTGGGACCACCTTGACAGGCTTGTGCCAGAGTCCTTGCAGTTCGATCTTTAAATCCTCATATTGTGTCAGCTTTTCCATTTGTTTCTCTGCAATCCTGCTGTCACCTGAGATTGCGACATCGACGATCCATACTTTTGTTTTTTAACACAATCGTCAGGTCAGGAGTGTTGTGCTCCATTATTATTATTATTATTATTATTATTATCATTAATATTATTTTACTGACACAAAAGCACAGTATGTCACAGCAAATGAGATCGATATGCTGGATTTCGTATCACAAAATCACAAGTCGAACCCTTCCCAAGCATCTAGGAGTGTGTGATGCATTTTTGAATGATGTGCATAGATCCAAGTCAGGTGGCCTTTTGCAGTTGACAGATCATGCTTTTGTCAATGTCTATTGTTTCCAAATGTCGACTGAGATCTTTTGCCATGGCGTCCAGTGTGCCGATGACCACTGGGACCACTTGGACTGATTTAAAAACCTGGAGGGTCAAAGTTTGCTCACGCCTGCACTATACTCTTGTTGATGAAGCATCCACATCACATTGGGCTTTGAGGTTCTTTCCCCCCTGCTTCCTGTGACTTTTGACGTGACTTTTGAAACTGTATTCCTTGTTTTCCCTGTGCAGTTGAGCATCACTTGGCGACCAACATCCAGCGCAACCGCCTGATGAAATATGACTTGCAGATGGCCAAACAGCTCCAGGAGGAGGAAGACCGGAAAGCCCAGACCCGGGTCCATGAGCGGCACAAAGACATGTGAGTCTATGGGATGCCATTGGTGCCCCAATAACCCCATTACAGGTCCCCGGGTTGCTGTGAGCTTTGGGGGCTGTATGACCATGTTCCAGTAGCATTCTCTTCTGATGTTTCACCTGCATCTGTGGCTGGCATCTTCAGGTGTAGGTGGGTCCCAAACTGTCCTTTGAGAGAGATTCAAAAGGTACTTAAGTGTCCATGTGAAAGGCCTTCCAGCAGTTCAAAAGCAAATCTGTCTCTGCAAGCACCTGCACAGCTAAAGTCTGAATTATGTAACTGTTGCCATAACTCCAAGGCTCAGCTAGCTTCTTGGGCATGGCCCAACCAATTGGCTTTATGTTTTGCATTTTCAGTTAACATGCTCCAACATGATTCACATTCATGATTTCAAGCAAGGCTTGTGCCGAAGAACTTCCCATTGACCCAGATCTCCAACTCTGCCATTCTTCAGTACAGAAATTTTTTTTGGGGGGGGGGGCTGAAGCCCCCCAAGCCCCCCCCCCCAGCTACATGCCTGCTTGCATGTTTAAAGCAAGTGTGACTCTTGCAATTGGCAAGCTTGATTAGCAAACTTGAGGTCTTTTGGCACGGCACCCACTGCGTCGATGACCACTGGGACCACCTGGACTAATTTGTGCCAGAGCCTTTGCAGTTTGATTTTGAGGTCCTGATAACGGCTGAGTTTTTCCTGTTGTTTTTCCTCAATGCAACTGTCACCCGGTATGGCAACATCACCATCACCATCACCATCATCATCATTTAGCCTTCTCTGCCAAAGAATGGTGGTGCCTTATCAAACTACAAATCCCATGATAATAAACTTAATAAGAATAATAATAAACTTTATTTGTATCTCCCCCTATCTCCCCAGTGGGAGACAAATCCAAAAATCATGCAGTCAAGGCAGTTAAAGTGGTTTCAAACTGAATGAGTACTACAGTGCAGATGCACTCCTTTATAATTTCCATGGAAAGGCTGCAACATCTAAAATTCAAAGGTACAATAAAAACAAAAATGCTGAATTTGCAATTATTCAGTCTGTTCATCTGCAAAACAATAATATTAGCCAACCATCGTAAGATGCGTTTCAAGAAGACCCATGATGAAGGCTGCAAAACATTATTTTTGTTGTTGTTCATTCATTCAGTCGTCTCCGACTCTTCGTGACCTCATGGACCAGCCCACGCCAGAGCTCCCTGTCGGCCGTCACCACCCCCAGCTCCTTCAAGGTCAGTCCAGTCACTTCACGGATGCCATCCATCCATCTTGCCCTTGGTCGGCCCCTCTTCCTTTTGCCTTCCACTTTCCCCAGCATCATTGTCTTCTCTAGGCTTTGCTGTCTCCTCATGATGTGGCCAAAGGACTTCAACTTTGTCTCTAGTCTCCTTCCCTCCAGTGAGCAGCTGGGCTTTATTTCCTGGAGGATGGACTGGTTGGATCTTCTCGCAGTCCAAGGCACTCTCAGCACTTTCCTCCAACACCACAGCTCAAAAGCATCTCTCTTCCTTTGCTCAGCCTTCCCTAAGGTCCAGCTCTCACGTCCGTAGGTGACTACAGGGAAAACCATGGCTTTGACTAGGCAATGGATCTTGGTTGCCAGTCTGATGTCTCTACTCTTTACTATTTTATCGAGACTGGACATTGCTCTCCTCCCAAGAAGGAAGTGTCTCCTGATTTCCTGGCCACAGTCTGCATCTGCACTCATCTTTGCGCCTAGAAATACAAAGTCTGTCACGGCCTCCACATTTTCTCCCTCTATTTTCCAGTTGTCAATCATTCTTGTTGCCATAATCTTGGTTTTTTTTTATGTTTAGCTGCAACCCGGCTTTTGCGCTTTCTTCTTTCACCTTGATTAGAAGGCTCCTCAGCTCCTCCTCGCTTTCAGCCATTAGAGTGGTGTCATCTGCATATCTGAGGTTGTTAATGTTCCTTCCAGCAACTTTCACCCCAGCCTTGCATTCGTCAAGTCCTGCATATCGCATGATGTGTTCTGCATACAAGTTGAATAGGTTGGGTGAGAGGATGCAGCCTTGCCGTACGCCTTTCCCAATCTTGAACCCGTCTCCTGTTCCGTGGTCAGTTCTGACTGTTGCTCCTTGGTCCTTGTACAGATTCCTCAGGAGAGAGGGAAGGGGGCTTGGGATGCCCAGACCACCAAGAACTTGCCACAATTTATGATGATCCACACAGTCAAAGGCTTTAGAATAGTCAATGAAGCAGAAATAGATGTTTTTCTGAAACTCCCTGCCTTTCTCCATTCTCCAGCATCCGGATATTGGCAATCTGGTCTCTGGTTCCTCTGCCTTTTCTAAACCCAGCTTGAACATCTGGCAACTCTCGCTCCATGTCTTGCTGGAGTCTTCTTCCTTGCAGGATCTTGAGCATTACCTTACTAACATTATTTTTAGCTGCATGATAATCGCCACAATAGTAAAACAACTTTTCTGAACAGGTCCCTGTGTCTTTTTCCCTTCTTGGGGGTGGCCTTCCCTTTGGACGTGACTCATGCGGGTGTTTCCATGTGCCTTTAAAAAGTAACTTCAGAAGAGCCCAATGGCCATTTTTAGAGCCTTGGAGTGACATTTAATTTGCGAGGGAACCCAGCCACCCTTTTCAGAGCTTTTTGGCCCCAATGGAAATGAGATCATTGCACACATCTGAAATGTCAGTTCTATTCAAATGTAATTTAGTTATCCTTTTGGAAAAGTTAACAACAGCATTTTGGGTGCAAAGAGGAGGCAACAGCCATCGGCAAATGCAGAGCTAAGATAAGATATGGAGGCCCAGGTGGAGCAGTGGGTTAAAGCTTTGAGCTGCTAAACTTGTTGACCGAAAGGTCGCAGATTCGAATCTGGGAAACGGGGTGAGCTTCCGCTGTTAGCCCCAGCTTCTGCCAACCTAGCAGTTTGAAACATGCAAATGTGAGTAGATCAATAGTTACCACTCCGGCAGGAAGGTAAGGGTGCTCCATGCAATCATGCCGGCCACATGAATTTGGAGGTGTCTATGGACAACTCCGGCTCTTTGGCTTAGAAATGGGGATGAGCACCAATTCATAGAGTTGGACACAACTGGACTTAATGTCAGGGGGAAGCCTTAACCTTTACTAATATAAAGAGGTCAAACCCAGAACTCCTTGCTTTCAAGTTGATCTGCCCCGCAGCAGGGAGTTCCTCAGTTCTCTATTGCCCCGCTTGGGCCAACTTCCATGAAACGTGGCCACAGCAGCAGCTACAAATCAAATCCAATCAAATCAAAGAGTTCGAAGAGACCTCATGGGCCATCCAGTCCAACCCCATTCTGCCAAGAAGCAGGAATATTGCATTCAAATCACCCCTGACAGATGGCCATCCAGCCTCTGTTTAAAAGCTTCCAAAGAAGGAGCCTCCACCACACTCCGGGGCAGAGAGTTCCACTGCTGAACGGCTCTCACAGTCAGGAAGTCTGACTGTGAGAAGCCTTCTTATTGCTTCACTTTCTTCCTCTTCCTAACATTGTAACAAATCCCCCAATAAAGTATCCATTAATTGTAACTTTTTTTCTTCTTGGTGTTACTTTGTGTCTTTTACTGCCTGCAAACTTTCCTCTGCATAAATCTTTCCTCTCCCAGGCTGCAGATGACTGCCGGCCTGCCTGGGATGCAATTTTCACGTCCCGGGGAAGCCGAAACTGCACTCCTCTGAATTGCGGATACGGAAACCCATTGGGCCCCCGTATCCGCGAGTCAATGGATCGCTTCAAAATTGGTGCCATTCTTCTCCTGGGAGAATTCTAAGACTAATCGCTATCTCGCTTTGCTCCACTAACCCCTCCACCCTAGGAATAACCATTTTTGCCTCTAAAACCTGAACATGGAGCCCAGCTGGCTCCCCAATGACACCACATCGTTGCCACCATTTTGTGGATGCCCAGAGAGCGTGTCGATCCGGGGAAACTGTCACAGTCACCCCTTGGGATCCCCGAGATGTCGGCAGGCAATCTTGGTCCTTCATGAGGAGGGATCTGTAGTTTTCTCCGTCTCCCAACATGGATCTTGACCTCCAGTGAAGGCAGTCTTCTCATAAGGACTCTGTGGACTCTGGAACACCTTTCCCAACTTGCCCCCATGGATTTTACAACTTTTTATCAACTTTTGCCAACTTCTAAGAACTTTGGAAAACTTCCTGGAACTTTTCCCCCAAGCCCCATGGACTCCCTTTTATGATTTTGGGATTATATGATTTCATGACCTTGGACTCTTTATGAACTCTGGTGGGTGGGATGGGCCAATATGAATTTCCTTTCCCCTTTCCCTGTGTATGCCTTATGAACCCCCTGTATGTGTCTGTCTATGTATTAAATATGGGAAGCCACCTTTTCGTGACCCCAGCATGACAAACTCTTGGGAAATTCCTTCCTATTTCCTGAGATGAATTCCTCATTGACTTAGGGACTCCAACAAAGACTTATTGCATGATAATAACAATGGTGGCTCTTGGGTCTCAGAGCATGGCCACCCAGGAAAGCACCCCGTGGTGAACTCGATCACTCATCAGCAATGGGACATCCTGCTTTCAGGGAAGATCAGGGTGCCCCATCCGCCTCACCCATTGTCTTTGCACCCTTGGCTGAAATCAACACACAGATAGCATCAATTAATCCCATATCCAGGACTAAAAGGTTATCAAGGTTTGGCAGCCGCACCAGCCACTCTTGTATATTTCACCACCACTGGACAATACCAGGCCAGCTTGAGGAATTTCTCGATGGCCTTTTTGTTCCTATGAGCTCTATGATCCCATGCTTTCTCATTGCAGACTTGGTGCCAGGAAAGGAAAGCATTTGGAACAACGTCTTAGTGGCAAAAGCCGCTTGACAAGCAACACTTTTCCTTTGCTGGTGGTAGAGCCTCCAATGTTGCTGACTGGCACAGAATCCTAGAATAATAGAATAACTCGAGACCCCAAAAGCTACCCAGCCCAACCCTATTCTGCCAGAGAGGAAAGCACAATCAAAGCCCT